GAGTCGTTTGTTCATCACGTGACAGCCCCATAAGTTTAACCAATGCAGTCTGAGCCGGAAAGAGACTTAATAATAATAACCAACTCTTTATTACCGTTGTTACAACATTCAGTGTTATGGAAAAGAACCATCATGACAGAAATTCACACATTTATAAACTGTAAGAAGTAAAAAGCTACAATTTGAGACCAGAAACGCATCACCTAACTGTAAGAGTAAATAATAATTATAATAATGATAATACTAATACTACTACTGCTACTACTATAGTTCATCTCGAGTCTTCGGGTTTTTCGAGTCGGTCGTTCATCACGTGACAGACCCATAAACCCAAACCCGAAGATTTGTCAGATAAGAGGTGGTGAGCTAATCATAGACTGAAGACCCAGGTAAACAATGAATTAATCTTTTCTGTTTCTTATAGCAGTTTTGTATTGTTTGTAGTGTGATCAACGTTTGCGTAAGTAGTAGACGTGTTAGGGAAGTAACACGTAACATTTTAATTATATTTTGTTAAAATGAACGAAATGACTCGAAAAAAGATTCGTTCATTTTGCTGAACGAGACTCAAAGGTCCGAGTCGGTAAAATGATCCGAACTTCCCATCACTAAGAGCCACAGGCTGATCGCTTCCATGCCACACCTCACTGATGCTGGAGTTTGTGCTAAAGGAGCCCCGACCAAGTACTGAGTGCATAAATGAACATACTTTTAAACAACTTGAACTTTTCTGTTTTGCAAATCCTTTTTTTGTTTGATTTTAGGAAATATTCTAATATTTTGAGATACTGGATTTTGGGCTTTCATGAGCTGTAAGCTCTAATCATCAAAATTAAAACAAAAAAACTTTTGAAATGTTTTACTTTACATGTAATGAATGAAACTTTTTCACGATATTCTAATTTTTTGAGATGCACTTATATATAGTCTTTCAAGTCTTTCAGTTCTGTACGCATGTGTACCAAACTGTGTACAAGTAAATTTTAAACTCCTAGTTTTATATATATATATCGGTATTTTAATGAATTGATTTTGATTCTTACATTTTATACCTTGCAATTCTGAGTTTATATCTCACAATTGTCTTTTTTTCCACCACAGAATAAAAAATAAAACATGTAATTGCGACTTTTTAAATCACACTATTCTGACGTTTTTCTCGCAATTGTGAGAAACAAACAACATATCTTGCAATACTGAGAAAAAAAATGCAGAATTGTAAGATAAAAAGTCGCACTTACTTTATTTATTTTATCCCATGGTGGAAAAAAGCTTCCATCATTATCCCTTAGGTATTTTTAAAATAGTTTAAAATAGTTTAATCTGAGTTCAGATATAATTATTGCATGACTTTAATAGCCATAATGAAAGCGACTATGGATAATTTACCTCAAATTTTGAAAAGAACTTAAAGGGAACAAGAACATTCAAACTGTGAGAAAAGTGTGTTCCATGACAAAGATTGTATCAGATTGTAATTTTTTTTTTTTGGCATTGATTATGTGTGCACATAAGAGCTTCGCCCACACACTCTTCTGACTTGCCATGATTTGTGATTGATTTTGTTGTGTCTTGTAGCTCTGTCACGTCTGGTGTTAACAGACTTTTTTGTCAATTGCTTGTTGCTGGAATCTTACTGCGTCACATCTGGTCAAAAATCACTGTAACACACTTATGCTTCTTTGCTTTTATAAACTGTGGCAACAGCAATATGATGCTTGTGTACTTAAAATGTTATTAAGACTCCAGTTACAACAAGAATGCAAGTGTAAGTGCTTGGCGAAATGGATTAGTCCTAAAAATTCCATAAGGAACCATAAAACTATTCTGGGACTTGGGACTATGAAACCAAACTATTAAATTCAAAATTCACAATATTTCTGCCAAGGATGACTCTTTTAACTAAACATTTATGGTTGCTGAGCAACGTAGCAACTTGGTGAATTAATATAAAGTGTGTGTTACACAATGGCTTTGTACGAGTCAGAACTATCCATTATATAATAGGCCTATACATTTCATAACAACTGCTCCTTTGAAAAGCTCCATTCTGAATACACATTTCTGAGACACTGAAGAATTCTTATGGTTTCTGAAAACCATTTGCGAAGTTGAACCATTGAGAACTACAAAATCCTTGTAAGTAAACGTCTGTGGATCTCACTGCTGAATGTTTCGATCACTTCATCCCTGCTTTCACACGTTCTCAGCTTTCTGTTCCTGTTAAGCACCTCATTACTGACTCAACACTGACATTTCAGCTAATCGGACAGAGTTTCACGAAAGGTTATATGGATGCAGCTTATGACTTTTTCGGCCTTTTTTTCAGTTTGTCAAACGTTTGATTCTTTCATGCATCGATAATGAATCTTATTTTTGATACCTCATGCAAACACTGTTAAATTGATTTCCTGGCTTGATACTCGATGTCCAGTTGAACAGAATGTGTTTAAAACACCAGCTTTGGCACGACGGGCCCAGTGCTATCAAATGCTGACAAGTTAATGCAAGCAATTACATTTAGCTACTTGGGCTGCCAATAAATTTTTTAGAGCAAAATCCATTTGATGCTTACAAGCGCAAGCCAAATTTAAAAATAAATTTTAAAAAAAAGTGGAAAATAAAAGAGAAATATTGGGACATTTTCTCTATGTCTAGAAGCTAAAATATTGGCTTTTTATCAAGTTGGTAGGTTGATTTTTATTAAAAAATAATAGATTACAACTTTTTTTCTTTTTGTTATATGACTGATTGTCAAGTAACTTAATATAAATATACATTTTAAAATATTTGATACTATATCCACTTATTTTAGCTGCTTTTCTAATTTTATATTATTTATAGTATGCGTATAGTATACTATGTATAGTAAAGTATATTATGTATGTACAGTATATTATGTATAGTATAACGTATGTGTATGTACCGTATATATTATTTTTTCTTCTCTCAAATTCAAGCTTCAAAAATAATTTTATTTACCAATAAATACTTACTGAAGATATTTATTTATTCTCAAAAATCATGACTGTCTCACCAATTTGGTGTCATTTCCACCAGAACAAACAATTTTGCCACTATTTAAAAAAATGTTGTACCGTGGATACAACAGTTTGAGTTAAAAGCTTGAGCAGAATTGAGAAATCTGATGTTTGAACAAAGAAAAACAATAATTCACAATCAAGCTGTTATTTTGTTAAATTATACAAAATGATTAAAATAATTGCGTGTATTTAGAATCTATGCTAGCTCTGAAATCAGCCAAGACAAAGGAACCAGACTTTTTGTTCAAAAAAATGTCGTTTCCACTACAAAATGAAACAATGGCACTGAGGTGTAAATGCTCAACACATTTCAGAGGGGGAAAAAATACATATTTCTCCTCTCATGCATGTATATACACTGTTTTACAGCATTAGCAGACAAATTACATGAACTAGTGAGAGTGTGAAGTGTGTTTTACACGATTCTCTGACAGACCTCAGGACCAAAAGAGCCCATAGCTGAAAAAAAAAAAAACCATCTTGTAGTTTCTGCTGCATCCCAGGTGAATTCTAGATGAGTTCCTTCAGAAGTCTTAGGAAAACAACCACGTTTCATGTCAGCTTTAATTAAAATTTTCCCAAACCTGGACTATTTTTGGTGCTTGTCAATGTGCTCTTGCCCTCGAGCCCTTCTACTCCGTGGACATTCATACATATTCACCACACATAAACAAGGTAATTACAAGCTCAAATTCCATTACAATTCACGAGGTCAACTTAAATCTGAATAACGAGTCGATGCGTACCGATTATTGTTGCCAAGTGCCTGAGGGGTTAGAATGGCTAAGCAAGGAAAGCTCGATCTCAGAGCTCAATAGAGCCCCGATATCAGCGTGCACATATGGTGCGGTGAAATTAATCAAGCGCTCCGAACTTCCCAATTTATTCTTCAACTTCATTTGTTTCTTTAATGGTGTTTTTGTTCCATTGTTCTGTGTGAGTTATTTACCACCATCACAAGGGCTTATGGGATACCGCGGTGATGTGCTTTCCTTAATGAGCTCTCAACAGCAACTTTCATGTGAGAATTAGATGACTTTCTTGGAATGAAGAGACGCTACATCAAGAGGGGTACAGGAAGTCAAACTCGCCTCTTTAATTGAAAACTCATTTCTAAGACTGCGAGAACCACAAGGGGAAGGATATTGGTTTTGCACAATGTCACAATCTGTCTTTCCTAACTCATTGTAAATGAATTAACAGGAGATTTTAATTAAAAGGTGATATAGAAGCCAATGAATTAAAAAACACAGGCAAACTCATAAAAGAATAACTTTTCTCGGATAAATCTCAGCAAGGCGAAGTATTCAAGTTTCCCCAAAATGTTGCTGATTTAAGGGTTTGAAAGCTCATGGTGCCTTGATTATTTTTCGCTTTTATGCAGTGAAGGTCATTAACATACATTGGCAGAAATTGTGAAGAAACTATCATCTTTGAAACACATAAGGCCACGAGTGGACTGGGGAATGGCGTGAGGGTGTGTGCATGCATTTGCATGCTTGTGGGTTTAATTGGGTCGAGTCTGGACGCTATGTGATAACCTCCTGCCGAGCAGAAAGAGCACATGTCAAAAATCCCTTCAACCTCTGAGTGGTCGAACGTGTTCAAAACAGACAGCGCCGTAGGAGGTCTCGCCCCACCTCATCGCAGTCTCTCCTTCAAAGGTAAGCCACACTTTCTGAAGCATTCGTGCTGAAGGTCATCCACTGACCGCTCCGTTGTCTGGAAATGTTGTTAACCAGCATAATTAATGCAGTGGTAGTTCTTCATATAAAGATAAGGCCTAAACCAAATTATTCTGTCAATATTGTTTGTCTATTGAGAAATATCCTTGGTCCAAGGCTTAACTCTGACACAAAGGAATTGGTATTTAAAGATTCTGTTTTCGTTGGTGAAAATTAAACCATCTCAACCCTCATTTGGAATTCAAACCAATTTGGGATTCAAAACAATAACCTTAAAGGGATAGTTTACCCAAAAATGAAAATTACCCCATGACTTACTCGCCCTCAAGCCTTCCTAGGGGTATAAGACTTTCTTCTTTCAGACAAATCAGAGTTGTATTAAAAATGTCCTGGCGCTTCCAAGCTTTATAATGGCAGTGAATGGCGGTTGATTTTTTTTAAAAGTGTGACCATCTATCATAAAAAGTGCTTCATACGGCTCCAGGGGGTTAATAAAGGCCTTCTGAAGTGAATCGATGCGTTTGTGTAAGAAAAATATCCATATTTAAAACTTTACAAAATGTAATCTCTACCTTCCGCTAACTGTCAGGGCGGTAAGAAGTGACGAACGCAGAAGCGCAGAGGAGAGAGCAAATCAAAACACCGGTCATGAATCAGAAGTACAAAAAGAAGAATTCGTAATGAAAAATGTCAGAGGATTTTGCTTTAAGCCAAGAGGAGACTGGTCTTCCTTAACTGTAAACAAAACTTGGTTCTGGCGAGAATAGCATATTTTCACCGGAGCTTACACTACACCTACGTCATCCGCTGGAACGCCACTCTCTTGCGAATGTGTGTACAACAATTAGCGGAAGCTAGAGATTGCAGTTTATAAAGTTTTAAATATGGATTTTTTTTTTACACAAATGCATTGATAAACTTCAGAAGGCCTTTATTAACCCCTGGAGCCATGTGGAGCACTTTTATAATGGATGGATGCACTTTTTTGGACTTCAAAATCTCAATGCCCATTCACTGTCATTATAAATCTTGGAAGAGCCAGGACATTTTTAATATAACTCTGATCATATTCGTCTGAAAGAAGAAAGTCATATACACCTAGGATTTTTGGGTGAACTATCCCTTTAAACCATCTCAACCTACAATTGGAATTTTGGGAATCGAACCTATAACCTTAAGCATTGTTAGCGGGAAGCTCTAGCTGAATCCTTTTCATATTCATAAACCCTACCATGATGATACATTGACAGTATTAGTTACAAAAGGTTCCTTTTAAGTCCCTTATTACTGATTGTGTTCGTATGATTTTGGTTTACTTTCTCTCGGCCACAAGTCACGCCACATGCAGACAGTGATCAGAGAGACAATATTCCCAAAGGAAGTGCATGGATGGATGGTTTGCCAGGACAGACAGCAGAATGTACCAGCAGACAGATGGCTAGATGGATGGATACTCTGTAAAATCAATATTTCATACAACAACAGAATCACTTTCAGTAAGCTAACTAGACATTTTTCAAAATCCATTCCATTGCACCATCAGCATTACTAAATACTCAGTCAGGCAAGAGGTGTAAATAAATAACCTGCAATTCGAAATCTGCTCAGATCAGCTACAAAATTAATACAACATGAGAGAGCATATAGCCTTACAAGTTAGAATACATCACTGATAAATAAAAGATGCTGGTGTAGGTAAAAATGGCAGCCACAACTGTCAGACTGTCAGAATGGCTGTGAAAGATGCAACTGAATGTCATTTTCCTTCCCGGTTGTTTATCGTCATCAAATCGTCAAAAATTCCCAGTCCTCAACAGAGGGAGGGATGGAGGGACAGCTTGGGTGGAAGTAATTACTGTTGCAGTCATTGTTGGGGCCCTTGACAGTTCCCTCTGGAGGGGCGCTTCATTTTAGTACGGCCCTACTGTACCACCTCAATCTATGCAGGCACTGCAGCTGGCTTATTATCTCAGCATCTACTGCATGCTAATGAACCAACCTGAGAATTCCTATTAGCCTCCCTCTCTGTTTCTCTTCTTTCCAAAGGATGGACAATGCAAAGAAAGAGAGTACATATAGTTTTTACATATAGCCTTTTTCCACCTGTTACGTCTTATGTACATATGACCAATCTAGATTTTAGAGCGGTGGTTCCAAAACACTAGCAACTGCACATTTTGCATGTGTCCTTAGTCTGACACACCCATTTCAGGTCATGGGCTGTGTCCAAAAATCACCCGCAATACCCTTAAATAGGGCACTATTTGAGGAGACAACCATTCGCACTGGTGTCCAAAACCATAGTGGACACTATCGAGTGCACTCATTTGATCAAATAATGCACCGTAATTACAAGCGTACAACCGCTGTACACTCAACTGCTAGAGAACACCCATAATGCACTGTGAGCGTCGTGTCGAATGAATTTCTGCATCTCGCCAGAAGATGGCGTGTGTAGCCGAATCATACATTCATCCATTTTCCAAACTGCTGGTCCAATGTGGGTACAGCATGATATCATACAGGTATAAATTTCTTAACTGACTATTAAATGGTTTTATTAAGGTTTATGCATGCTGGTTTCCCTGACAGAGATCAAAATCATTTTTTGCATTACTACTGGTGCTGCCAGTTTGCTACATTTCAAATGATTATTTAACAGCAAGCACAAACTATTTGAAAGCAGCAGTCCTTCCAGTGCACTCAGTGTCCAAATTTGCTCACTTGTTTTCATTCAATCCTTCAAACTGGAATATATCAGTGGACTAATGTAGGGACTAGTGATTGAGGGTATAGGGGGCGACTTCGAACGCAGCCATGGAGTCTCTACTAATGAGTTGATGAGATGAATCAGGTGTGTTTGATTAAGGAGACATGCAAACTGAGCAGTGTTGTGATGGAACCTCTGTTTTAGAGTATAGAGTATAATCCACCAACCATGAATGTGTTTGACAAAAGCATGCTCGGCCTGCTTTGTGATACTCCACCTGTCCTACAGACCACTGTCTGGAGTTGTCATCTTTATTCCCTGTTGGTATATTTCTGGTGGATAAGGGCATGTCAGACCTATGTAGACCACTTGTGCACCTCTGTTTATCACCTGATTGTCTCAGCAAAAATCTTACAAAAGAACAACACAGACACATGAGTTCCATGAATCCCAGTGAGTGGTTTCTGCTTTTTATTCCCATCACTATTTTCTGGCCTTTCTGAATAGAATTGATTCTGCTAACAAGGGGTTGGGACCTATGTTCTTCGTAACTTCTCAAACTGAGGAAGCAGTTCTCTCTCCAGAGACAGCAGTTAAGGCAGGGGTGTCCAAGCCTACTCCTGGAGGGCTAATGTCCTGCAGAGTTCAGCTCCAACCTGCCCCAACACACTTGCCTAGAAGTTGGTCTTCTTGAAGATCTTGATTAATTGGTTCAAGTGTGTTTCATTTGGATTGGAGCTAAACTCTGAAGTACAGTGGCCCTCCAGAAGCAAGATTGGACACCCATGAATTAGAGGAACTCAACAACCATTTGAAGACTTCCTTTAGGAAAGACCTTACCTGCAACAAACACCTAGAAGAGTCCTTGCCATCTACCAGCTTGTCAGCTGACTACATTAAGTCTGCCCTTAGTACTTATCGTCCTCCTTCGTGTCCACACTTCGGTGAAATTATGCTACATACATAGACTGTTGGATAGTTGTCCACTAAAGTCTGCAACAGCGCCATCTTCATAAAGTGTGGATGGAGTGTGCATCAAGTTAGGTTGGGACCCATATGACAAGTGGAACCCCTATGTACTTCACATACAAGATTCAAGTGAAGGCCACATAACCACAAGTCCACATAAAGTGTGGCATCTGGGACAGGGCCATAAGAGTTCAGAACGATGCAACTGGAAACCCTCGAAGAGTATGAGTACAAAGTCATTTGTATTCATATTAAGTTGTACCAAAATCATGATACAACACAAGACTATAAAGAAGATGCTGGAGGATGCTTAAGGCTTGGTTCTGATGATGAGAAATCTTCATCTAACCTACAAGCAAGTGTAATCTGGTATAAGTATAATGCAGTATAAGTATAATGCAATAAGTGTAATGCAGGCTTTATCCAGGTAATCACCGTAGGATGTTACCAGAGTAACTGGAACCTTGAATGATGGTGCAGATCTTGTTAGCATGGCAGTTAATCTTGTGGTTGGTAGATCTGTTCATATGATCTTTCCAGCTGCCTTCACAATCTCCCAGGAGAACCGTGTATCCTTAGCATTTGTATTGCCAAACCATATTGCAATGCAGCCAAACAGGATTTCTACGGTCCTGTGATTATGGGTTAAGGGTTACAGGTGCTCATGTTCAGGGTTTATGCAAGGTCAAATTGGCTTCCGAGGAATCACAAGGAGGATAATCTCAATATGGTACCAGACGTTCCCCATCGCTGTTTGCAATCTGAAATCCGGGGATTTTAGAGATTATTCTGTTCATATGGGAAATAACCAATCCTTCAGGGTATTTCCTGACAACAATGGCAAGGGGGACTTCTACCTTGCTGTGAATGTCATTGTTCATCCACAGGTCACCCATAAAGATGAATTCTTCTCTGGAGAACACAGCCATCCGGGAAGAATTCAATGTAGTTTGTGACATTACACACATATTAACCAAGGTCATGAGTTTCGCCTTTGACTACGCTTTTTTCTTAGCTAGTCTGCAAGTCTGCTGGTGGGTGTTTATGGGTGAGAAAGAGCAAGTATGTGTGTGAGAGAAACAGAGAGAGAGAGAGAGAGAGAGAGAGAGAGAGAGAGAAATATTCCACTCGTTTTCCCACCAGGGGTAGACAGACATCTGTTCTACACTACTTTAGGGGCCTTTTATACTGATGTTTGCCTGTCACATTGAACAGGGCCTAAGGAACAATTACATGGCGTGAATTGTAACACACACACACACACACACACACACACACACACACACACAGTCTCAGCTTGCTATTATATTATTGTCTAATGCTTTGAATAAACCTCAGAACACTGTGAGGTCCATCATGGGCAAACTGAAAAAAAAAAGTGGAACACATTTGAATTTCACCAGATTGACTAACCCAACAAATCTAAATGTTCAAAAAATTTCCAAAATGTAGGCAACAAAATGTAGGCAACATCAGGACAGAAATGGGAGAAACTTTGCATATAAAAACATACTTCATAAATCACATCTCAGCTGGAGTTTGCCCACAGGCATGTGAGTGAATCAACAACCTGGAGGACGACTGCACGGTCTGTTGAGACCAAAACATAACTTCAAATGCAAACCATCTTATTGCTAAAGCTAATGTTAGCCACAAATCAAATAAGATTCATCTAAAAGTGAATGTTTTTCTACACAGAAACATGGAGG